TTGTGTGTGTGTGTGTGTGTGTGTGTGTGTGTGTGTGTGTGTGTGTGTGTGTATTGGGGACTGGGGACATCTTAAAATGTAGCAGAAAGTCTGCGAACCTAGTTCTTCAGATTGCATAAAATTTGAAGTGCTATCAATTGCACTGGGTATATGTAGTAGTTCTATCATATGTGATTGGGTTTCTGCCCTTCTTTAAGCATGCATTAAATTGTTCTCTAAGCAGAATCTAATGTGTACATTTTGTTTTCTATAACACTGCTGACTGTTTATACCCTCTGTACCTAAACTTCACTTCTGTTGTTCTGCAAGGTATTGAACACCTTGAAAACTATGTGACATATATATAAAGAAGAAGAAATGTAATGCTGTTATGACATCTGTGCGGTCAGTAAGAAGATATTCTAGATCCCTTTTTGGGGAAAATCTCTGGGTCTGGTGTGAACAGTCTTAAGTAATGTTAAACAGAACATTTAAAAATGGATTTCTAATTTTGAGATGATTATAGAAGATGTTTTCTCATGCAAGAAGTCTGAATATATTAAACTGCAGCTTCATCTAAACAAATAACATTGCAGCTCTTTTAATAATGGCATGATGATAAATTTCACTTTATAAAATTCAGTAATCTTACAGTTGGTCTAATGAGATGGAGAATTTTAGGACTTGTCTACACACAAGCCACACCAATTCAACAGAAGAGGTGATGTTGCACTGTTTTAGTTTCATTCATTAAGTTTAATCTGGCTTGTATTTAGACACATGTTGGTCCATGCCAGCTGACTTGGGCTTGTGGGGCTCTAAGAGCTGTTTAATTGCAGTGTAGACGTTTGGGCCCGGGGGTATCTAATTGCAGTGTAGACATACCTTGGGTAACATGTATCACAGGGAAATTAGTTTTCTGGTGCAGGACCTGTGGGTGGAGGCTGCTTTCATTTGAATGTTTAACGTTTCCTACAGGAAAAGGTTGATAAGGGATTGGCTTGGTATTCTGATGTATTTGTAATTTCTTTCAGATGTTCCTCCCCCCGCCCTGTAATTGTGGGGTATTGTCCTTATTTTAACTTTGGAAGGTGATTGTCCTTTTGATGGTCTTATGTAGAATCAGTGGCTAGTTGTCATTTTTGTGTGTGTTTGTTTGTATAAGGACATAAGATATATCTTACCATTTTTGATTGCATAGTCAGAAGCCAGAGAGAGCAGCCTTGCTTTCTTCTTCGGGTGCTTGTGCATGGCCATTCCACTGTAGGTTTGTGCGCGTCCCAAGCACAGTCACTGGAAATTTTTCCCTGAGTGGTACCAGTCGGGGTGGCTTGAGCACTCTCTGGTGCCCTGTGGTCATAGCGCTAATATAAAGGGCCCAGCTGACCCTGCACTCCCTCAATTCCTCCTTACTGCCCGTGATGGTCACTAGAACTGCTCTCCTTGCTATGGTAAGCTTTTCTCAGTGGACTTTGTATTTTATTTTTTTTTCTTCATTGTTGTATATAGTTAGTGTTTGTAAATAGTTTTTGTCTTAGTTAGTATAGTTGTTTTTCCATTAGAGGGGCTTCATCCGTTCCCAGTGCAAAGGTATGCCTCTGTAATCAGGCTTCAAGCCCTGTGCCTCCTGCAACAAGGCTATGCCTCTGAGCGACCTGCATTCTAGTTGCCTGAAGTGCTTGGTGATGCTCACCTCAGGGATTGCTGTCAGATCTGCCGTGAATTTAAACCCTGTACGAAGGAGGACCAGGAGGCCAGGTTAAAGTTCCTTCTAATGGAGGTGGCATTGAGACTTTCCACCAAGCTGAGCCAGTTGAACTCACCACCGAGCACCCTGACATCGGTGAGGAGTGCTCCTCCCACCGTCCGGAAGTCCCAGTACTGTTCGCATTCTCTGGTGCCGAGGAAGCACAGGAAGCAGCTAGCTGAGAGGGGACATTTCTCTGACTTTGAAGAAGGCTAGGCATGGTAAGCAAAGCAGAGTGCGACCTAGGTCAGGCCACTCCTCTGACGCGCATCACAGTCAGCACCACAGACTCTGGCACTGTTGAATCTGGTATCAGACGAACGATCGGCAGTGGAGGGACAGCAAGGCACCAGTGCCATTGCGGTGCTTTCCACACTGGAGGCATTTGCTGTCATCAGGGACCTACTCTTGGCACCGGTGTCACTGGCAGTACAGGAGTCAGTGGCATCGGTGCCGGTGGACAGGCAGGAGCATGTAGCCCCCAGTTGTTGTTTGGTTCCAGGCCCCGTTGTACCATCCAGAGGGAAACCAACCATGAGGGCCCCGGTGCAAGCTTCCCTGCCTCACCACTGATCTCCAGCACTGGTGGGAACCACGCCTCCGTGGTCACCAGCACCGCCCTGGCCATCGCGGTTCCAATCTCCATCTTCGGACTCGGAGACAGGCTCTAGATATGCGGAGCGGGGATGGCACCAGTCGGGCCGTGGACAGTCTGAGTTGGGGGCAGAGCCATGGCCTGCGTGGTGGCCATTTTGTACCCCGTGGGCATACCACCCAAACTAAAGGTTCCCGATCGGCCACCTCTG